GAGTTAAGCCATAGAAATAGTGTAGACTTAGGAGTTATACAGAAAGATAAAGAGATCTTAACTAAAACAACTAGTATAAAACATGAGGTGGTATTAGACATCTTAAAATTCCCTTCTAGACATTTCAAAATAAAAGGAGATTATTATGATGGGAAAGAATGGCATAACATTTCTATCCTAGTAGATACAAGAGTAGGAGTAACACATATCCATAGTGATATGATCCCACACCTACCAAGATTTGAACTCACTAAACCATACACATACTACAACTTTAATGGTGCAGTGACCACAGTACATGAATATGCTAAAGTACCTCTTAAAATAGAGGATAAAAAAAAGATATAACATGAAATCACTATAACAGCTCATGTTGAAACAAAAATGACTACAAGTATAGAATTAATGTTAGGAAATACGTTCTTAACATCAGTACAGCCCTATAATATCCAAGAACATTGTTTAAAAATTACCTTAAGTGGAAAAGAAATGGTTATACCTCAATACTATGAAGACTAGTATCTACAGTGTATACATATCCATTGGAATCAAATATGAAGAATAAAAACCAGAATTCTTTCATGCTTTTATAGATACAGAGTCTGGGATATGTTTAGCCAAAACCAATGTATTCCCAAAATATTATTGGAGGAACACCTCTCAAACTATGAAAAGTGTAGTTATAGATGGAAGTATTATTCAATACAAAATAATAACAGAAAGAGTTACTTCCGTAATTGGTGGAACTGAAGTTATAATTCCCCAAGTCTATGAAAGTAACGAGCATGGAATGATATTCTATTAGGAAACAATTTTCTAAGTCAATTCAAGTAGTATGTTCAAACTGTATCATATGTAAAATTTTATACACCTTGTGGACATTGGCTTTACGCCTCCATAATTTATAATGCTTATATTAGAGCAATAGAACCATTAAATTTTCACAGCCAATGCGATGAAGATAATATAAAAACTTGATCAAAAGAGATTAAAAAATCGGTGTTAGCATTGTAGAATAATAGAAAAAACACAAGAAAAAATAACTTTAGAATCTATCTCAGAAGAATTAAGAAGTAATTATGGAGAAAATCCTACAAAACTTTGGGCAGTTAATAAAACTTATGCCACAATCGAATTGATAAACCCAAAAACTATCATTAGAGTTAAACCAATGAGGTATAGCCCTGAAGATAAAGAAGAATTTGATAAGCAAATTCAAGAGTTAATAGCCCAGAAAACTATATAGGCCTCTAAAAGTCCACATAGTAATCATGCCTTTATGGTAAGAAATCATAATAAACTAAAAAAAGGAAAGGTTAGAATGGTTGTCAACTATACACAACTTAATAGCAAAACTAAATTCGATGGTTACTTTTTACCATATAAAAAAACTCTAATCAATAGCATTAGGGGAAAAAAAATGTATTCAAAGTTTGATTGTAAATCAGGATTTTGGCAAATTAAGCTAACTCCTAATAGTATCCCACTAACAACCTTTAATGCCTCTATAGGACACTATGAGTGGTTAGTAATGCCTTTTGAATTAAAAAATGCGCCTCAAATATTTTAAAAAATGATGGATAATGTATTTTCTTCCATCAAGAAATTTTGCATAGTTTATGTAGATGACATACTAATATTTTCTGATAATGAAAAAGAACATTTATGTCATATTAAAAATTTTGCATATTTATGCAAGAAACATGGAATATTACTTTCTTAAAAAAAAGCAAAAAAAGGAAAAACCAAAATTGAATTCCTTGAATTAATAATAGATTCCACGGGAATAAAATTATAACCTCATATTAGTGAAAAGATTTCAATGTTCCCAAATAAATTAGAATCTAAAGAACAAATTCAAAAGTTTCTAGGAATACTCAATTATGCAGAGTAGTTTATTCAAAACCTAACTCAATTAAGACATCCTTTGCAAAAGTTGCTCAGGAAAAGGGAAAATCAACAATGGGAAATTTATCACACTAATCATGTAAAAAAATAAAAGAATATCACAAAAACCTTTCTATGCTACAATTGCCTAAAGAAGATGAAAAGTTAATTTTGGAATGTGATGCCTCAGATTTTTATTGGGGAGCAACTTTAAAAAATTCTCAAGAAAAAGTTTGTAAAAATGCTAGTGGTACATCTAGAGATGTCGAAACTAGATATCATTCAAATCATAAAGAGTTATTAGTTATTAAAAATGGAATAAAAAAGTTCAGTTTCTTCTTATTACCAAAATATTTTAAGGTCAGAACTGACAATACTTAAGTTAAGGGATTTATTTTTAATAAATTACCTTTAACACCAGAATATAAAACATTAAATAGATGGTAAACTTTCTTTGCTGAATATGATTTTGAAATTGAACATATCAAAAGAACTAATAATTGTCTTGCAAATTTCTTGAGCAGAGAAAGAGCTAATGGATGCAATCTTGAAACTCCAAAATAAAGGGAAAGACCTTATTCTCAAAGGTCAAAAGATACTCATTGAGGAAAAATATCCAAATAAGAGAAGGCCAAGAAAAAATGATTGAAGGCCAAGAAATAATCGATGAAGGTCATAACCTTATGGATGAAGGCCAAGAAAAAATTATTAAAGGCCATGAGTTATTAAATAAGGGGTAAGATGCCCGTGAAGAGATCAAAGAGCTAATGGAAAAATTTATGAGTTCCAAAGTAATTACTACTGTTGAAATTAGCTCTAAAGAATCTAGCCAGATGGCAAAGAAAAGCTCACAATAAGAGCTAAAACAAAATTTTGAATAAGGTGATCCTTCAATAAGATTACTTGAAGAAAGTTCAAGGAAGTTTGACTATTATGTCAAATACTTCCCCTCAGAAATATCAGCATCTCAAGCTGAAAAGCTGAATATTCAAAATGCCGAAAACCATAACTTTCGACCTGATTACTCAAGAAAGAAAGAAAAGAAAGCTACAATAATACACCTTGTCAAAAAAGATAATGAGTGAAGAATATCTGTAAGAATACCGCAGAGTTTGTAAAATGGCATATTCAATGAGGTCCATTGAGAATTGTCATCATATCCATGAAGGGATTTATCCTAGAATTAATTTCATGTAGGATGCAAACCCAAAAGCAATAAAAGAATTATTCAAGTATGGTTTTGTAAACATTATTTATCTCTCAAAGGATAATGAAGAAGTTTTAGAACTTCTAGAAGTTTTACGCCAAGGAGTGAAAGACTTCAAAATTAGCACCAAAGCTCAAGGGGTAGTATTTGTCAAAATCTACTCTACAACACCATAATGGGAGAAATCTCAATATTTCCCCAGTCATCATATAGTTCAAATTGGAATCCAATCCAAGAAAATCAAGGTAAAAGCAAATGAAGATCAAAATTTTCAAGACTTTGAAAAGTCTCTTTGTGGGATTGAGTTCATCCAAGAGAGACGAGCTCTAGGATTCAAGGTTTTACTCCAAGACCTTTGACATAATGATAGAGATGAGAAAGACATGGACATATGGCTTCTCCAAAGAAATCTCAGTGGTATCCACTAGTGCAAGATTAATAACAAGCATTAGTCTCTTCAAAATAAAGTAGAAAAAAAAAGGAAATCTTTGAAAATCTAATCCTAGCCAGTAAAGCAGTCCATAATAGACTATGCAAGCTGTTAAAGCATGACAGATATTGTAGTTTTTGCTAAAAAAAAGAATTTGCAAAAGGAAAAGCTAAAGCCCCATGTGACGAAGGGACCACCCCCTCAGACAGTGAAGAGGATCTCATCATCCTCTAAAGAATCCAATGCAAAAAGACGTAAGCACTTACATCACTAAAGAAAAAAAAAGAATGTCTGTAAGATTCCATGCAATCTGCTTTAGTAAAAGTAAGAAATAAATTTGGATCACCAGACAAATAATGTAAACTTTAAATCTTCAGTAATGACGAAAGAAAAGATTCTAAGAAGCGCTATAAAAGGCCTCCTATAAGTTGTAACAGGTATCAGGCATTTGAAGATCCAAATACTTTACCTGAAAACCTTCTACTATGCATCTGTAAACACCCTTCAAGAGGAAAGGTAACTTTCCCTTTCTTTTCTCAGAAATAAAATCATGTTTTAGAATAATTCTTGTGTTTCTATCCTTCTTTATTTCTATCATAAAATAAAATAAGAAGAATCCTAAAGAAATTGATGCAGCAGTGAAGTCACTTGTCCTATCCAGATACCCATTATAACCTGAGTTTAGCGTTAAGGGTTGTATGAAGGAAGCATTTGCTTGACTGAAGGCTAGTCCAAAGGATTTTTAGGTAAAATTCTAACTCATTTATTTTATCATGCAGAAGCAAGGTGGCATAGAAACAAATTTATTATTCTTTAACATTAGATTATTTTTGAGATGAGAAATGATAGGGAAATAGTACCTAACCTTTTACATTTTGAATAGGAAAATCCATTCTATATTAAACCATTATAATTTAAGATGTTTGATTTTATTCAAGAAATTGTTGTAGACAAGATAGTTTATAAGCAACAATACGAATATTATAGAAATAAAATAGTAAAAATTTTAGAAAAAATAAGTAATATTGAAGATGATTATCATCTATCTAAGAATCTCAAAAAGTTGAAGCAAATAGTTGCAAATTTAAATGAAGATATAAAAAGATTAAAAGAGGCCAAGCAAAGTTTATCTTTATTAGCAATTTAGTAGATCTAATTCCGCACTTACTGAGCCTAAAATACCAGCTATTCATTAGTCAATAGTAATCTGAGTTAAATTCTGAAAACCCATATAAAAATTTGGTATCAGAGCCAAGAAACAATAATTTTAAGTATAAAAGTTGTTCTAACAACAAATATAAATTTGAGAACTAAAATATTAAAACAAATATAGTTAGAGAGCTAACTGTCTTCTAAATAGAATAGGGAGTTTTTCATAAAAAATATCAAATTAGATGAAATTAAAATAAATATGAAAGATAGTAAATAGGATTGAAAGAATCTAAAGATAATAGACGAAATTGAAAAAAAATATGAAAATTAGTAGGTGATTTATTAAATTAAACCATTAATATATAAATAATTTTAATCTGTAAAAAAATATAATGTAAATGTCCAAAACGCCCTTATCTTCAAGTTCCTTCTTTCCTCTTTTCTCTCTTTCTTTTACTCCTCTCTGATCCCAGCAACCACCCGCCGATGAGGGCAATTACCGGGAAACGACAACTGGTGGGCAGTAAGGAACAAGAAGTTTGGTGGTGCCTCTTTATCTTTGAAAAAATCAACCAAAATCGCTACGTTCTGGACCAAAAAGAAAAAAGAAAAAAATCAACCAAAATCACCTAAAGAGTTGAGAAGAAGAGATTCTAAAGCCACAGTAATCGAGCATCCATAGAAAGAAAACAAAAGAAAGAGTGATAAAAAATATCATTTAAAACAGAAGTTAATTCAGGTGCACTTTGTGACCAGGAAATTCAGTCACCCACAAGTGCAGATCTTAAGTATATAAAGATTATGGATAGTCCACACCACCATTTCATATCAACAATAAAGCCCCAAAAATCCTAAACAAGCCCTAAACAATGCCGTCTACCATTTTTCTAATTTACCCAATCCATCCCCAAATTACATATATCCCCCACCCTAGACCTAATCTACACATTCGGTAAAGATAGAATCCATGCCTGAGACTGGCCGTGTCCGTGCGGATGACGTTCTCCAAGAAGATCTTGAGGACACCGCGAGTCTCTTTATAGATGGCAATGCGCTCCCCCCTTGCCTCCCTTTTTTCTTCCCCCCATTCCAGTTGGGAACGCAAAAGTGCAGATTTGGTTTCCTTCTCCCTTGCATGAAGTCTAGAACCCATAGATTTGGTTTACCCAAAAGAGGATGAAGGATTACGAGGGTAGAAGAGCAAATGGTTAAGGAGGCAAAGGGGGAAGACCAAGGAAAGGAGGAGGAAGGCAGTGGAAGGGAGAAAGGGAGGAAATGATTCATTTAATTAATTTTTTTTTTTTTTTTTAGAAAAAATGGTTAGAAGTTAAAAGTTAGATTAGCACCTGCTTTTGGCAAGGTTAGATAAGATTCGATCATTGGTAAGGGATGCAATCCATGGACAGTCTTATTGGGCTGCAGTAGTCACCAATGAATCATAACAAGAGAATGCAATTAAAATTAATTTTATTAAATAATATGAATGTGTTTAATTTTTAAAGTATGAAATTGTCAACGTGGATGCTATGTAATCAAAAAAATTGCCACATAATCAGAACACAGTGTTTTATTTTGCCACATAATTTTTTTAAATCTCAAAAATTTTAATTCATGGCAAGTTAACAATCCCCACTATGCACTTCCGTTGATGGGAGGACCAATTCGGCAATGGAAAATAAACATTAGGAATAATTTTAATAATTTTTAAAGCTTAGTGACAAACTTAATCCAAAACTAAAAGTTGAAGAACTAAATTTGTCATCTAACTTTTTAAAATATGAAAATGCCTATGTGAATGCCATGAAAGCCTATTTGAAATTTTATTTTAGTTCCACATAATAATCAAAACTAAAAAAATAAATTTTTGGATTGGAAAAATAGTCCAATGAACATTTAATTGACGGAAAAACAAAATTAACATCAAAAGATTGAAATTTAAAGATAGTTTTGATAGTTTTTAAAGACTAAGGACTAAGTTACTCTCAATCTAAAAGTTTAGAGGCTAAAAATTGGTAATATAATAAAAAAAAAGGTTGATTTTTTAAGGGTAAATGTCAAATTTAGTTTTTAACTTCTAATTTTGAATAATTTAGTCCTAAGCTATTTTTATACATTTTCATCCTTCAATTATAAAAAATAAATTTTTTTAGTTTTTTTATTAGTTTGATCTAATAAATCCGAATAGTTGATTTTTTTTTAATCTTGAATTTTTATTTTATGCACGTTCAAATTATTAAAGAAAATTAAAAAGATTTGAGGTAGACAAAGTTAAACAGACAAAATTGAAAAAAGGATAAAAAAAATATATCTTTCATAGTTAAAGGGATGAAAAAAATGCAAAATAGTTTAAGAACTAAAAATGTTTAAAATTAAAAATTTAGGGGCTAAATTTTTTATTTTTAACCATTTTAAAGGATACTTATTTTTTAAAGTGAAGAACTCCCTTTATCTCAAAATTATAACCATTTTTTTAATTTAAAATTTTCCTAGATTTATAGTCTTTTTTTTAATATTATTATTACTTGACTAACATTTTACTCTTTTTTGTATTAAAATAATTATTTCTTTTTTATTTCTTTTTTCAAATTAAGGACTTCAAAATAATATATACATTTTCTATATTATCTTTAAAAAAGAGATAAAAGATAAAAAATAATTTTGTGATAGAATAATTAATTAAAAAATAAATGATAGGATTAGAGGAAAAAATATTTATCTATCTTAAACAATTAAAACCACAATTAATTTGAGATAAATTTAAATAAAAAATTACTATTATTTTGAGACCAAAGAAACACCTATTTATAAATTTTTTTTAAATAATTGGCTATGATACGTGAAAAAACCAACTTATAAGCCAATTTCTATCTACTGAGGATTCTCTCCATCCAACTAGTATACCTAATTTTTAATTTAAAGCATTTAAATTTAATTCTTCACTTTTTTTTAAAATGTCATTTAATGTATTTATTCTTATTTTATCTTTATTTTAAAAAAATTATTACAATATATAATAAATAAGAAGACTTATTTAAATATTGATTAATCAGCGATAAATATAAAATTTTATCAATTAATTATTATATTCTTATTTTATTAAAAAAATGTTTATTAAGGTTAAACAGGTGAGTAATAAATATTAACTATTCCTAACAAACAATCAAGCAAAACCAATGTTTTTGTTAAAATATTATTGATAATGGTAAATACTGGATTTAGTCTTTAACTTTTACCATAAATACCAAATATTATCTAACCTTTCATTTGAATCAAAAATAATTCCCAACCTTTTCAAAATTATCAAGCCTAAGCTAATTGTTAGTTACTTCTATTAAGTTCTTAACAAAAATCTTAACTAGAATTTTGGAAGACCCACAAAAAATTTTTCATAATTTTTCTTTTAATTATCATTGTCCTAAATTTATGTTTTCTAAATTTTGGATTCATCCTAACCTTACGCCAAGTGAACTCAATCAGGTGATTTTTCGTTAGAGTTTTTCAAAGAAACCCTTTCCTACTTTTATGATGGATGTCCGCATTTTGATGGTATTTTACAGAGAAGATATTGCTCTTGATTGACAAATTTGAACACCATATTAATGGTGGATGCGCACATTATTGATTACTACAAGCTTTTATTGAAAATGGTCGGGATTTTTTTTTTCTTCACAAGGTTTGTGTATATATTATAGACTACACAATACCCGTGCGACATATAATAAATTAATTTATATTTTTAATTTTTATAAATTTTATTTTTAATATGAGATATTTTTTATTTTTAAAAATTAAATATAAATTAAAAGTTAATGTAAAATATATTTGGATAATTTTTTTAATATATATTAATGTTTTTTAATAAAAAATTATAAAAAATTTTCATTTATACTTATACTTATTTTCACGCATTAATTTAGAATACTACTTTCCTTTTTATGCAAATAAAAAGATTTCTATAATATTAAAAATAGAGAAAAAAATTTATAATATGTTTGGATTGATTGAAATATAGATTGATGTAATACCCCGAATTCAATATCGATTGGGATTTGTAAGTAAACTTGATATATAATTATGAAAATCAATCACTATTAATAACTTAAACTTAAACTTTTGAAGGCCCATGAACTTTGTCTCAAAAAGGTATTAGATCAGTAATAGATTTCAACCCAATTCATTTTACGATGGGAAGGAAGATTTTTTTATCAATCAAATTGTAATGTTTTTTAAATACTACAATTTGATTGGTAAAAAACTTTTCCCTTCCCCTCAACCCAAACATGTTATTAATTAAACATTTGAAATGGAAATGAGAAATACTAAGATCTTAAAAAAGAAGTAATTACTTTTTTCTTCTTCTTCTTCTTTTTGAGAAAAAATGATAAGATTATATTAGTATAAAAAAAGGAGAGTTCATTAGTGTTGTTTTAGAAAGTGAACTTCCAATACATAAGTAAGATAAAATGCAACCATAAGAAATGAACATTTATTAAAAATAACAAAAGTTAAAAAAGGTGATATTCCCACCCTAAGAAGCTGGTTAGTACACATATGGCTATCACTATTGACATACTACAATGTTGAGTTAGAACAAAATTCATCATAAATTCTCTACAATTCAAAACATTAGAGATATTGGCAATCAATAATTAAATGTTATAAAAAGAGCCAAACCCAATGTTAATTTTAGAAAATCCCTTAATAACAATAAACTTGGAGGTTATCCATTGAATGGTATAAAAAGAGCTAGACCCAATGTTAATTTTAGAAAATTCCTTAATAACAATAAACTTGGAGGTTATCATTTATCTTTTAAAAGTTAACACTTACTCTACTGGTAATGCCTATATTTCTGATAAACCCCATGATCTAATTATCATTATGATCTTTGAAGATCCTTCCTCTACCAATAAGTTTAAGAAAGGTAACCCCCTCAATATTACTATTCAATAAAATATAAAGGAAGTTTATGCTAGTAAAATATACTAAGTAACTTATTAGAAAAATAAGCTGAATAAGAAAAATTGACTAAAATTTAATAGTTTTATAAATAATAATAGAAAGCCACTTAGAATCTTAAGATAAGAATTCTTATTAAACTTGTCATTTTTTTTGTTACTAAATTTCCCAAATAATGAATAAAAAACAAAGCAATCCAAGGAATTTTGACATAAGAGAATCATCCATGCATTTACCTCTTATTTGGTTTAAGGGAAACAAAATCCCCTCCGCTTGTTTGGTTAGACTAAAATGTAAAATAATAATAATAATAATAATAATAATAACAATGATAATAATAATAATAATAATAATAATAATAGTAATAATAATAGAAGGAAGGAAAAACTCCTCATTTTCCCTCCAAATTTTTATCATCCAAATAGAGAAGTTCTTCTCCTAAAAAGGCATTAGTGTTAACTCTTAATCAACCAATAAAAGAAACAATAGCACTCTCAGTATTTACAACAGGGATGATTTTGTTCTAAATTCTCAATAAGTATAAATATTTTAATTGTTAGTATGGAAATATTAGCAATGGTAGTAAGGCCTCACGTGATGAAGAGCACTCCCCATTCTCATGGTGTTTTTTTGAAGGAGAAAAAAAATATTCTCTCATCTCAATTTATAATAATTTAAAAAAATTTATTAGATGATTTTTTTTTCTTTACAATATTAAATAACAAATGTGTTGAGTAGTTAAGTTAAACTTGAATTGCATAATGAATATTAGGTTTTGTCATTAAAATGAATGATAAATTAAGTAAATACATTGAAACTTGTGAAAGTGTTGGTTGAACCCAATTTACAATCATTTATAAAAAAAAAAAATTATCATATTGTTAAGGGTATATTAAATGGAGTCCCAATGAGAGGAAAGGAATATTGCCACCTTTAAATAGTATATTTGGTTTGAAGGAAATAGACGAAAATAACAAATGAAACTTTTTTCTTTTAGGCAACTCTCTTCCTATAGAATGGGAGGCAACCTCTCTTTCATCTTTTTACATACCATATGATTCGAATTCTAGAACTCTTGCTTCCACTGGAAAGAAATTACCATTGAATTATATAAATCATTAGCAAAAGAAATATGTTTTATAACCAATCAAATTATAACATTTTAAAATATTACAATCTAATTGGTTGACAAATCCATTATTTCTCTTCCTTCAAACCAAACACCCACTTATGAGAGATTTTGGCAAAAATCCTTCTTAAACCCTCAAACTTACCCCAAATTAGTATTTAAGCCCCTGAACTAAAAATGAAGAGATAAGCCCTCCAGCTCCACTAACAATGCAAATAAACCCTTGGCACAAACGGTCCAAATGGTATTTATTGTTTAATATCACCTTGAAAGCATGGAAACCCATGAATTAGAAGAGCTTATTTGCATCATTAGTGGACTTTGAGGGCTTATCTACTTTATTTTTAGTTTAGGAGCTTAAATGTTATTTTTGGATAAGCTTGGGGGCTTAAGAAGGGTTTTTGCCATATATTTTCAAATTCTAAAGCAAAAATAGTTTTTTGTGTAAAAGTTAAGTTTCGTAGACAATTTCAAATCTTTTTTAAACTAAAATATCAAATTAGAATATTACTATCAAAATATTAAATATTAAGGAGTATATCTATAAATTGAAACTAATTTAAAACTTATTGAAAATAATTAAAAATATACAAAAATAAATATAAAATATTAGATATGACACAAATGAGGAATAAAACGTGTTATTCTAAGAGGAAACAAAAAATACTCTATAAAAAATTGAACATAATGTCTGCCAACATAACACAACTAATAAAGTAGCATAAGAATATAATATGAAATGTGTGCTTTAATTATGAATTTTAAATTGTTAAAACATGTAAATTACTAATAAGTAACTATATATCCAAAACTAAGAAGGAACATAGAAGTAAATACTTTTGAGAAAATTAAAGAAAATGAAATTTAAAAAAAAAACTAAAAAAAAAAGAGGGGCAAATTAAAATGTCACCTAAAAATATTATGGTTTTAAATTGATAAAAAAATATTAAATATTAAATCCTAGTTCAAATCTAAATCCTAAAACTTTAAGTCATAAATTTTAAAAACTTTAACTTTTAAATTCTTATTATTGAACTCTAAATTTTTAAAATCCAAAACTCTAAAATTATAAAACTAAATGTTAAATTCTAAAAAATTTAAAGTTTAAATTTCTAATTTTTCATGTTAAATTTTAAATATTGAAACATAAAATTATTCTTCATAAATTCTAAAAAAAATTGGGCTTAAAAAATCATAAATACTTTAATTTAAAAAGTAGTACAATAAAAAAAATCTAGTAATTTTTCTTTTATTACTGTGAATTTAATGTTTTAATGTACACTTTTCTCATATAATTTTACCTAAATAATCAATCTCTTTTATCAATTTTTTATTTAAAAAAATTTAAATTAACAAAAAGTAACAACAAATAAATACTGAGGATTTAATAGTACTCAAGTGGCATTAATTAAACTTTTGGATTTGATTTTTTTTTTTTTGTCATAATTTTGGACTTTGACATTAACTGATCTCATTAAATAACAACTTAAGAAATACTCAATTGTAGAAGAAATTACCAAATAAAGAAAGTTTTGTAATATGTCAAAAGTACATTAAATTAAGGATTATATAAAATTTAATACATAACATGGTTTTCTTTTATTAGTTTCTCTCTTAATTTATAGATAGATTTAGAATAAATTTCTAATGCAACATGACTAAATAGTTGAGTCAAATTAAAAACATACCAAATAAAAAATGAAGAGCATCAAATCTAAAACAATTAACTAGATAAAACTTAGAATTAAAAAAGAAATAAGTACAATTTTATGAAATGATATTAATAAAACTTGAATGATTTAACATAAAAGAGGTTGGGTTATTGTTATACTTTAAAGAATAATGATCTGCGGGACGAAAATGGAATGCGAAATGAGGGACGACAAGAGAAATTAGCCAAGACACAAAATTACCAATTTAACCTACTTCCCTTGTCGTCTCTCAATTTCGCCTCTCATTTTCGGCCCGCAAATCATTACCCTACTTTAAATAGTTGATACCACATCATTTTAATATAATTGTCTATCCTTGTCACGCCCCAAAACCCAATTTCGAGACGCGACAGACGCCGTGCACTCGTGAGACGGGTCCCACAAATGCACAAGGCTCGAAACTTATCAAATTCACACTCTGATACCATCAAAATCTGAAGATCAAATTATAAAATCTGCTCTAATATCATAAAATCCCCAAATACAAGATCATGAATTGTTTCTAAAATTCATATCCAATTACAATATGGCTAGCTTTCTAACTCGTCACTTCCCGTGGTTTCCCGTCCTTGGTTTCACTTCCTGAAATGGTGGACAAGGAAAAACTATGAGATAAACTCAGTAAGTAAATATGGAGTGCCCCTTATTTAAACTTAAAGCATGCCACATGTGCAATCACGCAAAACGGATACAGTACGGGAACGAAATAGACGTCTCCTCTATAGGTCATGGCCAGTTCCCACTGGCAGGCAAACAGGAATACTAGTGTATAATCCCCACTAGTAGGGCCACGATTTGCTGGTGTATAACCCCCACTAGCTGGGTTGAACGAACCGGCTCTATCACTACATGTCGACATATGCTAGCGTTTATACCTCCCCCACTAGCGGGGTCACGAATAACATGACTACATCGGAGACAAAACAGGCAGAAGTTAACAGGAAAATCACGATTCACAATCACTTTCAGATCATCAGGACAGTCACTCAAATTTCAAGTAGGCATGCTCAATTTCATGAAAAGCATAAAAATATCATTTCAAATCAGTTATACTCGTGTAAAACGGGTTTAGTCCCGCCACCACTTCAAAAACAAATCAAAACATGCTTATAAAACAGTACGGGCATTATCATAAATTTACTTACCTCACTTGCATAAAACCGAGCACTCAATTCACGTACTAACTGACAGAACGATCGGGAACCTAATCAAAACACCTCAAAATTAATACCGGACTATCACAAATTCAAGCTGAAATCATCATTAGGATCATTCCTAATCACAATGCTATTTCTATCACTTTCCACATGATCGGACATCTCCAAATTCGTTCTCATATCACAAACTAATCATTTAAATTCCCGTTAAATGTTGGCCCTCATGGTGTGAACAGTAACCGGTGAACAGTGCCGGTGAACAGTGACCCCGACGTGAACAGTAACTCCACTCCCATCAATTGGCCAAAACACTAACTAATCTCACGGGATTTTCTCCAAAAATCACAGCAATCAACTCAAGCAATTTACACATGAATTAAGCAACAAAACACACTTAAAACCCCTCTTAATTGCTACCGGAATTTCCCCATTTCCTAGCCAAATTCGGACATCACACGGCAGCAAACTAATCAAGCTAATTCTACCTTAATCAAGCTTAAAAACAATAGTTTAAGGCTGCCACATACCAGAATTTACAAGCAAGGAACTGGAGCTAGCAGATTGGGGAAGGCCGGCGGGAGTGCAGGGGAGAAACTCACAGGCTACCCAAAATTGAAGGAAATAAGAGCAATCAAAGTTAACCCAAGCCAATTCAAGGAAAAACAAAGGAATTAGGGGCTGTTCTTACCCAAAAAAAAAATGCCCAGAAATCACCCACCCACATAGCAGCCGGCGGAAGGACAAAGCAGAGCAGGGCAGATCCGGCTTTTCCAGTAGGGGGAAAGAATTTCTGGGTTCCAAATCAGGTTCTAGAACAAGAAAGGAAGGAGAAAATACCAAGCTTCCTTACCAATTTTCCAAGGCATGGCTGGGTTCTCTTTTTTTTTTCTTCGGGCTGCTGCAGCGGGAAGACAGAGCAGAACACGCGGGGAAGAAGAAGAAAAGAAAGAAAGAAAAAGAAAAGGAAAAGAAGTCATCCTTATCCAAAATCTTTTCCTCTTTAAGTCCCTCAACTTTCAGAATATTCACATTAGCCCTCAAAACAATCTTTTCTTACAATCAAATCCCTAACTTATACTTAAATATTCCCGAAAATTTGGGATATTACAATCCTACCCTTACATTGCTTTTAAAAAAAATTTTACATTTTTTTATTTCTTAATAAATTAAAAATATAATAGTTAATTAAAATAAAAAAGTGTAATATTAATAATTGAAAGCATGATAATAACATTACCTCATAAAGGGGAGAAAAAAGGACTTTTTTATGCTCAACTTTGTATATATCTAAATTCAAAATTTTTTTGCTGATATTATTGTTTTTCATACTTAACTCTCTCTACATGAATAGCTTTAATATTGTTAAAAAAGTAAAGTTTCATACTTTAATTTTACAAATATTATATAATCACTATTTAAATTTTGTGAAATGGTATTAATAAAATTTTAAAAAATAATATGAAAGAAGTGAGGTTATTATCATACCCTAAATAATTAATACCACATTATTTTAATATAATTATAAAAATTTCCCTTACAATATATTTTTTTCTCAAAAGTCTACATTTCTTTTGTTTCTTATTAATTATTATTAATTATTAATTACTTGAAAAAAGGAAATGGAAACGTTGCAAGAAATGGCTGAAAAAAGAAAAAAAAAACGTTCCAAGTGTTCATGGAAAGAAAAGCGCAACCAAAAACGTACTGCACAATTTAAATATATATAATTGTAATATATTAATTGATGGTAGAATAACTTATGGAATAATAAGATATATTTTTAATTTTTTTTACTCTAGTAATAATAAATATTTTTTTAATTTATGTTCTTAAAATAGAGGTTAAGAATATTTTTTTATTATAAATATATATATATAAATTAATATTAATTTTAGTGTCAATATTAAATAAGTGAATTTTAATTAAATAGTTGATAAATTAAAAATTAATTTTTATTTTTCTAATATAAATTTATGATAAAAATGTATATTTAATATATTTTTAATCTGTATCCTTAGGTATTGATAAGATAAAGCCTAATAATAATAATCACATTTAAAAAAGAATTCAAAAGAAAAAAATTTACCAGAAAGAGAAAGTTAGGCCAAATGTTAAAAAAAGAGTAGATTAAAGAAGACACATGAATATGACATGTGACAAATTAAACTTTTTTCATTTATAATATATATAGTGTTAAGTACTTATTAATTCTAATTAAATAAACATTAAAATTAAAAAAAA